GAAAGCCAGTTAAAGCGGTTAAGTAACACCACGGTACAAAGTTCACTCTCAGGAATGTACACTCTCTCACAAACTCAAATACACACAGGCAAGAGCATCACATATTTCATTTAACACGAGAAATCTCACAGCAGTCAATTTGGCGGCTTATGTATGTGTTTGGATCTTTATAAACTTTGAGACTTTTTCTGTTTCTATGTGTAGTTAAGTTCAATGTCATGGGTTTCTGGAATTATCTCGATCCTAGACAGCAAAAAGTGATGAAAATACGTACAAAATTGCTAAAATTTGGCAAAATGTATCATTATTTGAGCACATTCTGACTGCCTTAAAACAAGATTTGCCAATGGGACAAGCAAAAGGATCTTGTTTTAAAAAGTTACAAAATATGTCTCCCTTGGAATGAGAAAATAATGCAACTATTCTTGAAATAAGGCTAAATGGCTTTGTCCCTTTGGTAAATATTGTTTTGTTCTGTAATGTCCTCAAATTAAGATAAAAACTTGATTCAAGCATTTATTACCACATATTTTATCATTTTTTGCAGTGTAGACTGGTCCTAGACTGGCAGTCCCGGCTTTTGCAAGTGCTAGTTACCATAGCAACACACTTTTACTTGTAGTTTTGCCTGTGTTTTAGTTATATGCACCAGTTGTATTATGTATCAATGCAAAAAAAACAAATAACAGAATTATATGGATTTTAATGGGAACTGCAGCGTCACGCAATATAATAATATGAAATACCCCAAAGTTGTCCTTATTTTCCTTTTTTAACTCTAATTAACTCTAACAAACAGGTTTTTGTGTTGAGGACTGAACTTGTTAGAACTCGGAACACTTATTATGAGCAGCAGAAGCAATATAAAGCTTTTGACATTTGAGCTGACAGCTGGATAGGACTTGGTGACAGGATCTATCGTACACACGCTTAGATGGCTCCGATTATGAAGGAAAATTATTAGGTTTATAACAAACACATTATTACTACTTTTAGAGTGGTTTTAGCCAACTGACACCACCCATTATCAAGAGTTGTACTGCCAGATCTTTCCGCTCAATAAGATTTGATCTCCTCTCTCCAAGAGCAATCCAAGAATAAAACTATTGACCCAGTGACAAGACTTTTTGGTTAACTAAACAGGAGATCATTCAAGTATTACACCATTTTTTGTTGTTGTTGAGATTTTAACCAAGTGCTGACTTTGTTCCTCATCAAAAACAGACCTTGTTTTTAGATCCATCCGGGAACTTCTGTAACAAACTTGTAACTCTAAAAGCTCCTGTCTCAGTCCTGTCATAAATGATGTCATTGTACCACATCACACTCAGAGCAGTTTTCTGTCTTTTACAACAAAAGTGTTTCCCATAAATTAGTTTTGTCCGTTTTTCAGATGAATGTATGTCTGTGTTTGCAGCCAGGAGTTTTAAATATTAGAAAAAACTAAAATTCCACACCCCCCATTGGTAGCAGAGGGAGAGTGCAGAAAACATTACTGACCCTTTACTTACTGATTGCCATATGGTGTCTACTTAAGAAATTATTTCACATTCTAAAATACTTTTAACGGCCAAAAATAATGCATACATTTTACAATCAAAAACAAAACAATCAAAAGACTTCCATCAGGGGCCAGATAGATATGTTTTTGATCCCTATAGAGGAATGCAGAAGTCCAGCATCATATACAATCAAACAAACATCCATAAATCAATCATTCAAAGAAGTCACCAACAATAATGAAAATGTAATAAAGCACACGTTATGCTCAGACAGCTCTCTCCTTCAGTCTTATGGCTGAGGGAACAAAAGAGCTCTTAAAGGGACAGTGCACTCTCAATGGTCTGATAAAGTGAAATGAAGTATGTACAATTACAAATCAAACTTTTCTCGCCAAAATCTTCTTGCCTCTGACACAGCTCAGAAGCAGCTCCGAAACACCGATTACCGATGCAATCCACCTGCTGGAGTGTTGCGAGAAACGGCCCGACCTCTGTATTGCGTATATATGACATAATACAAGGCTGAGGGCCAACCAGGCGTGGCAGACACTGTGGTGGTGACTCAACCATGTACATATTGATATGACCTGAGTATAGTTGCTCTAATAATACCTCGACTAAACCAACGGAGGCCTTGCGTGTTGACAGGACGACAATTATGCAAATGTTTTATGTGGCTATTAAAATCTAGGTTTCGATGAGTGATTATGATGATCTGACGAAGATATGGTGTTGGCTGATGCAAGCTGGAGCCAGGCAGAGAAACCCAGGCGGATTATTAGGATTTGCTGTGTAAATCCTGTCCGCAAAGGTGCCCTGGCTGAATGAGCCGCACACTGCTGTGGTGTCACTCTCTGCATGAATCTTTGAGAGCGAGAAATGTCAAACTATAGCTACATTTAACATCAGAGAGAATAACGGATGGTTTTTTTGGGTGAAAATAAGGGACGGAGGTATTGACGTGATAAAGCACATCCAGCTTCCTCCCCACCACAATATCGCCTTTTAAACAGCTGATTTGGACTGTTTTATGTATTATATATTACATCTCTGCACTGTTATTGTATTTATATTTTAAATGTTGTGTTTCTGTGCTTGTTATGTACCCCCACTGGTGCGCTGTCTGTAATGTATGTTCTTCATGGATAAATATATGAATTGAATTGAATGGAAAGAAAACAGAGCAGAGATGAAAAGAAGATAGATCTATATTGAAAAACTGCTTTTTTCAATTCAAATCCATTCAATGTCTTCTTGTATCGCCCTAAATCACAACAGTAGTTTTCTCTGAGGACTTTAATGTTGAATTCGCCAACACAGATCAGGGAGAATCAAACCGTCCAAAACACAGGGATTAACATAGAAAACACATTGGTATTGGTCCATAAGGGGCAGATGACCAATGTCCATAAATGTGTCTTTTAGTGCTGTAACAAGTTAATAAACTAATTACTCATCCATTCATCCATCTTCTTCCCCTTTATCTGTTCCCGGGTCACAGAGACATCCACACTCCCTCCGGCGACCAATCAATTATTAACATAGTTGTCACCTGTAATACATTTGTTTATTGATTTTTTTTATTGGTTTTAAAGAAAAAAATGTTATGATTTGACACAGCTGTTACTGCAGAAGGACTTGGAACTGTTTTCAAAAAGTATTTTCTAATCCCAAACAACATTATGTAACATCAAGACCCTCTGAAGATGTTCTAGCTTTAACTTTGTTTGGGCAAAACCTGATTGGATGGATTTACAAAGTAATCAATTAACACAATAATGAGTACTGGCCTATAGTTCCTAGGTTTGTCAAAAATATTAAAAACCAGATATAGTCACTAGATACTAATTTGAGAAAATACTGGTACTAAAACAAGTAAATGAACAGGACACATGTGGACAATTCTAGTCTATTTTTTTTTTTAGAATAAGGTTTGATTAAAACAGAAGAACTAGTAGAAATCATTGTGGTATCATAAATATGACTTTTACTAAAATGACATATTGTGCAAAAAATAGAGAATTTAAAAAAAAAGTCTGATATCAAGAAATTAGTATCGTCACAATAGCGCATTTTAATTGACAATTATTGTAGAAAAACATTGCGATACACGATAATATTGGAACTACTTTGATACAATTGCTAGGTACTAAGCCTATTGAGAGTCTGGCCTCTCTGTTGTCTGCTCCTCTCTCTGTCCTGAGCTAATATTGCATCATTCTCATTATGAAGACCTATTTAAACCTCAACTATACAACTCAATTTCATTACAACAACAAAAATAGCAAAAATCTACAAGAATGTACAGATGATAAATACTGAACCACAAAACGCATCAGTTATTGAACGCTAATCAACTATAGTAATTATTGTGACGGATCATCTCATAGCAACCAATCTGGACCTTACATTTTTTAATCCTACAATATGAAAAGCATGTTAATGGATGGTAACTTTTGCATTGTTTCATAAGCGATTTTATTCCAGAAACCGTGACACAAAAGCCACGCCGGAGGGGACTTCGCCAAGATCCATTCAAGATTTACCGACATATGGACAGCATGTAATATTAAACCGGCAGCGACTTGGCCCTCACGTCCCAACATTCCTGGAGTAACAGCCCCGCGTGGTGACAGTCAACCCGGCCTTGACTCAGAGGGCCGTGGGGGGACACACACCCACACACACAAACTCCCCTTTCTCCTCCGCTTGTTGTCACCGCCGCATATCACATAGCTCAACTTGAGAAGGCTTGACAAAATATGGCCCATAGGCTCCTCCAGTATGTGTCCCACGAGAGAATTCTTCACCCCAGGTTTGCCCTTAGCACCCTCCCTTTTAACGCAAGACTCCATGTTTCTTCTGAGTGACAGGCTGGCGTATACCGAGACATGGGCTTGAGCTTTTGAACAACTTGTGGGAACAGTGGTTATGCAATTCTCGTATGGCAGGATCTCGCCAGTTGTCTATACCTGACCTAGAAGACTGGCAAAGAGCTGCCAAGTTTTACATAACAAATGACAAGCAGAGCCCTCCTGCTTTGCTTACAGTAATAGACAATAGACTGCAGCATGCTTAATGATAGACTTAAAGAGATTATACAAATGTAACATATCAGAAAAGGGGTAGTAGATTATTTTGGTTCATACACTAGGATCCCTCAATTGCGTCAGTCCAAAATAGGCTACTGTGTTTCGAGACAAACCGGTTGTAGTGATCAGTGTTTGCTCCAATTCCAGCCATGTGACTCAGAAGAAGGATACTGCCTCATTACTCATCAGTCAAGCCTAAATGGAACAAAGACCAGCAGCTTGGGATGGCACCCAGCCTGATCGCCACTGGCCCTCATCATACGGACTTGTCATACCTATAGAATTATGGATGTGTTGTTAGGTGTTCAGCCACATGGGTTTTGTTTTTGTTTTGATGGAGGAAGGAGGGGGATGGCTGAGTTTGGAGTGTGCTGTGCAGTGTGTTGGCAGCAAGAGGACCACTCACCTTCCATCCTGCAGAGCTGTTACTGTCGCCTTTGTCTTTGAAGTAGGGGATAGATCTGACCATCCAGTCATAAATCTGGGACAGCGTCAGTCTCTTCTCGGGCGCGCTCTCGATGGCTTTGGTGATGAGGTCCGCGTAGGAGAGGTTCCCCCAGGCGTTTCTGCGCGACGATGCTTTTCTCGGGGTGGTCAACGCGCTGGGGGTCAGGGGTCCAGATGTGGCCGAGGGGGAGTGCGAGCTGTGCGGGGAACCTCCACTGTCATGGCCCGGGGATGAGAGCGCACCGTCGGCCACTGGACTGCCACTGCTCTGGTCCTCCGTGTGCGCGCTGGAGTCGATGGCTGTGGGGGTGGCGGCGTCCTCCTCATCGTCCTCTTCCTCCGGGATGATGTCGTTGTTCTCTGGCTTCACCGAGCTCTCAGGTCTGGGTAGGGGCCAGGTGCAGGACCGTGGCCGCTTTTGGGGCTCGAAATCCGGATCGATGGCAACGTCCAGGTCCTGGAGAGGGTCGTGCAGCGCTGCTACGGCCATGGCTCTGTCACAGACCCTCAACGTTGATTAAAAAAAACAAAGTTAGGCCAAGAGAAGCGAGGAGCTGTCAAAGTCGCGTCCCATGAATGCGTTTTCGCCTGGTTCTTTGTTGCTATTCCCGTGCAACCACAACTTACTCTCTCGCCTGTTGAAGACACAAAACACAATCAGTGAGAGAGACATGTCATCTCAGCGACTCAATGTGACGTGGGAATGCAAGCCACATCCAAACAAACACACAGGGACTTCATAATCAAAGTCATGTTATGCAACGTTTAATTGTGAATGCCAAAAGTATATGCGCAAATCAATACCTCACGCACGGGCCTCGGCTCAAATCCTCAATATTCTCGTAGATCAGTGTTCAGTGCGTGCTCCTGAAGGCATCCTCTCCATCCAAAGCGCACGGTTCTAACGCAAAGGTCCGTGTAGATGTGTAGGTGTGTGCCTGTGCCTATGCCTCGCAGGGCTGCCACCTCACTGTCAGGCTTTACTACTGACTCCACATAGCTCGATTTGCTCTCCATACGCACAGTTACGCGCTTTGACACACGCATGCGAGCCAGAGCAGAGCCAGCCCCCTGCTTAGTGAAGGATCGCCTTTTAAAGAGACATCACTTGTGTGGTGCGTGTGTGCGTGTGTGCGTGCGTGTATGCATGTGTATGTATGCTTGCATGTGTGCGTATCTATGCGCGTGTATATATATTTGTGTGAGTGTGTGTATTTGTGTGCGTGTGTGTGTGTATATTTGTATGCATGCATTTGCTTGCATATATATGTGTGTGTGTGTGTGTGTGTGTATAAATGTGTATGCATGTATATAATTGTGTATATGCTTGCGTGTGTATCTACGTGTGTGTGCGTGTGCGCGTTTGTGACTGCGGAGCCAGTGGACAAGCAGGTTCAGGACACGTCTCGACATGTTGAAGCGTGCGAGATAACTGAAAACCTATTGATAATACATTTCAAGAACAGGTTACATACATCCACTGTGCCATAATTCATGCATGTGTGTGTGTGTGTGTGTGTGATGTATGTGTGTGTGTGTGTGTGTGTGTGTGTGTGTGTGTGTATGTGATCATACACAATAACAACGTGAAAGAACAAAAACAGGTCAATTAACGTCCGCTATAGATCCGTATGAACAGAACATACAGATACAATAAGACAATTCAACCGTAGTTAGATTTGGGTTCATGAACGTGACACAGACGTGTACATTACGCAAGTCTCAGAATTGTGATGATTTATCTTCGCACAGTCACAATTATGTTTTGCGAGTAAATTATGTTGTACCTGTTCCAAGTCCCCTTCTTTCAAGTTGGCTTGAGTGTCTCGTGACGTCACAATTTCTCCTCTCACGCCTCGATATAATGTCGAGATGTGGAACGATTGGAAATTCACCTCTGTGCAGCTGCAATGGGCCACAACAGTGTGGATGTGTATGTAAATGTTCTCTCTCCATATATTATATATATATATATTTTTTTTAATTATACATTATATATACATAATGTAAAGTATTTGTGTATGTATATATGTACAGTATATGTGTGCATGTGTGTGTGGGCCTTGGATCCTTCATAATTTACATAATGTATACTAGAAATTCAAAACAGCTAGAAAGAAAAACATTCTTGAAGCGCACCAATGCTTTAGTTTTGAGGTATTTACAAGAAAAGATTGAACCAAATCATCGACTGTCGATAAAAGGATACATTAAAAAGCTTGATCTGGCATGAAAACAAAATAAGTCATTGGGTTTCTTAGATTTAAAGAATAAGAAATTATAATAAAATTCATACAATCATCTTTATTCAATTGAAACCATGAATGTCCAGCTCACATGCGCGTAATCCTGTAATACTCCTGCTCTGGAGACAGAATGTGCAGTTTTCTCCTATTGAACAATCAGACAAAAACATGACATCATCATAGCTCAGATGCCTGTACTGCTGCTTGGACAGAAGTGGGCTGAGAGCACAGCTTTCAGTGGCGCACTAGAATGACCTCATCTTTAGATGCAGTGACCATTCTGTGGTAATAACAGGCCCATGGCTGCCACCTACCGGCCAACTCAAACATAGGTCTTATATAATTTTTATTTTTATTGGATATGCACACAGAAGGTACATTATGAAGTTATTTATTCTGTCATTACCTTGTTTTGTAAATAGTCGTGAATTAAGTCTTTAGTGTTATAGCAAGACCATGATAATTCAACACTTGTCTATAGGAGGCTTTTAGGACATAAATGCACACATTCAAATTTACAGCCATCTCAGTTTTGAAAAATTATAAAATCGTTCAATTCCTCAAGCTACAATCCACATGTTTCGGTTTTTGTTTTTAGCAGTAAAATTGAAAGAATTTGCTCAAGAAGTACGGCCCTAAAAAATACTTAAATAATAAGCCTTCGAAATATTTGTACCTGTTTTTGCAAATGAACTATATTCAAATACACACATGATGTGTACAGCTCTGATTTCAGCCACAGTTTCAGACGTCTGTTCTAATCATTGGGAAGAGCATTCCACAGTCCGGCTCTGTTTGAGGAAAAGCACTGTTCTAAATGTTCTGGACGTAGGAAGCACACAGTCTCACCGACAGGCTCTGCTGTTAGTTCTATGGAACCTAAACGTCTGACAGCAAGACAGAGATTAAGTGGGGCAAAAAAGTATTTAGTCAGTCACCAGTTCTCCCACTTAAAAAGATATCTGTAAAGGCCTGTTATTTTCGTCATAGGTATAACTATGAGAGACAGAATGAGAACAATAAATCAAGAAAATCACATGATTCTGATTTTTAAAGATTTTATTTGCAAATTATGGTGGAAAATAAATTTGGTCACCTACAAACAAGCAAGATTTCTGGCTCTCAAAGACCTGTAACTCCTTTAAGAGTCTGTCCTCCACTTGTTACCTGTATCACATGAACAGGGGCCATTGATCAGTCTGAAAGACACCTGTCCACAGCCTCAAACAGTCACACTCCAAACTCCACTATGGCCAAGACCAAAGAGATATCAAAGGACACCAGACACAAAATTGTAGACCTGCACCAGGCTGGGAAGACTGAATCTGCAATAGTTAGGCAGATTGGTGTGAAGAAATCAACTGTGAAATATTAGAAAATGGAAGACATGCAAGACCACTGATAATCTCCCTCAATCTGGGGGTTAGGGTCAAAACGATCACAAGAACGGTGAGAAAAAAATCCCAGAACGTCCCAGTATGTCTAGGTCATTCTGAAGTTTGCGAGACAGCTATTGGATAATCCAGAAGAGGATCGGGAGGAGGGGCGACAGTAGCTCAGTTGGTAGAGCACTGGCCTTTGAGCCTGAAGGTCGTGGGTTCAAGCCCACCATGGGACCTTCTCCACCGACTCCCACTGATGACTGCTGTCGTTGTGTCCTGCATTGCCTGAAGCCCCCGCTGAGAAATCAAGGCTGTATTGTCACTGACAGAGCAGCCGTCCTCCTGTGGACTCACCACCTGCAGAGGATCAGTGAGGGGCTGGTGCTAAGTGAATTGGGTGCAGCTCTGACTGCCACCCCCCCGACCCAGAAATGGATGAAGGGGAAGAAGATGGATGGATGGAGGATCGGGAGGATGTCATATGATCAGTTGAAACCAAAATAGAACTTTTTGGTAAAAACTCAACTTGTCGTGTTTGGAGGAAAAGAACGCTGAGCTGCATTCAAAGAACACCATACCTACTGTGAAGCATGGGGGTGGAAAAATCATACTTTGGGGCTATTTTTTCTGCAAAAGGGAACAGGACAACTGATCCGTGTAAAGGAAATAATGAATGGGGCCATGTAGAGTGAGATTTTGAATGAAAACCTCTTTCCATCAGCAGGGGCATACAATGATCCCAAACACACCGCCCAGGCAACAAAGGAGTGGCGTTGTAAAAAGCCTTTCAAGGTCAGTCCTGGAGTGGCCTACCTAGTCTCCCCATAGACAATCTGTGGAGGGAGTTGTATGTCTGTGTTTCCCAGCAGCATCACTGCTCTAGAGGAGATCTGCATGGAGGAATGGACCAAAATACCAGCAACAGTGAGTGAAAACCTTGTGAAGACTTATAAAGTCTTCACAAGGCTTCGTAAGTCTTGTCATTGCCAACAAAGGGTATCTAACCAAGTATTAAGATTAACTTTTGTCATTGACCAAATACCACCATAATTTGCAAATAAATTCTTTAAAAATATGATTTTTGGGATTTTATTCTCGTTCTGTTCCTCATAGTTGAGGTCTATCTACGATGAAAATTAAAGGCCTCCATAATCTTTTTAAGTGGTAGAACTTGCACAATTTATGGCTGACTAAATACTTTGTTGCCCCACTGATCAACTTTGTTCAATTTATGATCAAAACTAGTTTTGATCATGTTTGAGGCAGAATAAGAAGAAGCAGGCGGCTTTTCACAGAGAGGGAGATTTTCACAGCAAGACAACAGATTTGTCACCCCCAATTTGCATTGCAACCAATACAGGTTCATCAAAGCACGGTTTCCAAAGAGCTTTTGGATGATCCAGAAGAGAGGATCTACTCTACTCTACTCTACTCTACTCTACTCTACTCTACTCTACTCTACTCTACTCTACTCTACTCTACTCTACTCTACTCTACTCTACTCTACTCTACTCTACTCTACTCTACTCTACTCTACTCTACTCTACTCCTTGCTATCTGCTTGGCCCTAGTTCTAACAAGGCCAAGCTGGTACTAAAGTGGTCCTTGAAGCCATGATTACCAAGGAAATTACATGATTACTGGTTTGTTGTGGCGAGGTTGCTAGGATCCGGTACCAAATACTAAAGCGTAATGGAAACACAACCAGGTACAGTAGAGTAGAGTAGAGTAGAGCAGAGCAGGTTTTGTGGAAACAAGGCTTGAATATACTCTGTTGTAATCCTAAATGGTATTGCATTAACTGTTCATGTGTGCCAAACATACACTATAATTCATTAGTGAGAAACGGCAAATAACAATTAACTGTTTCAGCGCCAACGTTTTTTCAGAATTTGTATAGAATGTGGAATTTGTGAACAGACAAACAGTGGAGCTCTAAAACCTTATAGACAACTTTTAAAATCTAAAACAATATAATTAAAAGGGAAACATCTGTACAGTGTCCTGATTAAACTAAGAATACGTTATTGCATATTGACTTGAACTTAAGACACATAACTATGGCAACAAAATTCAAATAACTTGAAAATTGTAACATTGTTCACAGTAGGCTTGATAATCCTTGTATGTGTCATTTCCACATAATTCCACCAGATGGCAGCAAAGCGCTACAGCACAGGTCTACTGCGCTTTTTAAAATGCTTCCTATATAGTCCAAAAGGGGGCCGTGTTGCACCACGTCTGTGCACCAAGATGAGCCCAGTAGAAGCAGAAAGTAACAGTTGCTGAACGTGTTGAGGTCTGGTTTGTTCAGTTTGTCAGGAGCTTTAAGTGATTGCTTTTTTTTGGCCGTTCCTCCGGTCTCCTTCAGTCCAGTACTTCTCCGTCTGCATCTCTGTCAACCTGGACACTGTGCGATTAAATGCAAAAATCTCTTCCTCTGCAGTGAACAGAGAGAGACGATCCCCCAAGTCCTGAGAAGAAAGAAAGAGAAAGTAAAACAGTTCAAACACAGAAAATATAATATTATAAAGACGTTGAAGCCATTGGTCCAGAGCGAGTGGGATGCCCAATGTCCATAGTCACAGGACAGATCTGTGGAGTAGTAACCATTGTTTTAAGTGAGAATATGTGTTTAAAAATAAAATGAAGTAGTATTTATGATAATTTAATAATTACAACAATAGCAAAAGCTGGAGTACTTCACTTTGAAACCCCCAAAATATCCATGTAACTATAGTTCATAGTTAGATCATTAGTTTTCACATAAGTTCTCGGCCTCCATCACATCTTTAGATCAGCTTTTGCAGTGATAAAGGACCATCCCTCATTCAGCCAATCAGCTCTCAGCATGCTAAAGATAACATGTTTTTTCATAAGATAAAGACGGGATGCTGTGGTCTCACAAAATGTCACTAAAACAAGACTTTTGGTTGGGAAAAGTAAATGTATACATGCAACTAAAAAAGTTACGTACTCAAGCTTTAACAAATAATATCTCCATGGAGACAAGCAGGTGAAAGACCCTCCGAGAAACCTTCTGTAATTACACTGATTTTCAGTTTGAAGCTACAGTGGACAGAGACAAGTTCACAAAAGACAGTTTAACTAAAAAGCTAGTTATTATCTGCAGTCCCTGATTACACAAGTACTGTAGATGAGACGCGTAATGCAATACTGAAGTATAATTAGTATAGATTACATTTGATTTATGTTCAGACTCACTTGATTCAGTCCCAGTTCATCCAGCAGTTGTCGATCTTTTTCGTTTCCTCCAGTTTTGACAAAGAGTCGATGTAAAGGGGCCGCAGCCTGTACCACCACTCTCACCTGGTACATGCACACACAGTCAAATAGATTTGACTAAAAGGTGGCGACAGTAGAGCCATCATCTTTAAAGAAGTTCCCCTTGTATCAATAAATATAAAAAAAATGCCTACTTTATGTTATAATACATTATGTGGGGTATTACATGGGTATAAAACACAACAAAAAATGCCAAAAAAGGTAATCATTGTCCACATTTGGCTAAACTAATTAGAGAACTTTTAAAGAGGGTCTTAAAACAAGATTTGCCAATGGAAAAAAAACACATTTGCTAAATATATGTGCAATATAGAATCACATGTGTCCACTTTACTTAGCAGCATGACGGTATGGGATATTTATATTTTTTGCTTTAGAATATACAAGCTTCTTTATTATGCCAAAGTTAGAGATTTTATTTTATTTGATGTACTTTAGAATAGAGTTATTGTTTGTTTATCTTGTGCTATATGTGCTCCTCATTTCTACTGTTCTGTAACTGGTGATGCAACTCTGAAATTTCTTCTCAATGGGACGAATTAAGGATCTCATAATCTCTTAATATCTGTGCTTGAAATCAGACTAAAGCAGGTTGTTCAGTTGTTTTAAGACATGTTTTCAAATCAAGAAAAAAATCGACTTGTCTAACAGGAGTAAGCTGCGGGTAAAGGAGGTTGGAGATCCCTGGAGCAGGATACAATAAGAGTGATATAGTTATTACCTTCCGATCGTAGAAGTTGTCGATGAGTGTGGTGAAGCGCTTGGCCTCGTCCTTCAGATCCAGGCTCAGGACCGGAATGTGGCGGATGAAGACCGTGTCAAACAGGCGGGCGATCTCCAGGTAGTCCCCAGCTCCGAGAGGCTGGGGTTCAGAAGACACATCCAGCATCGCATTAGCAGTAGTAGTAGCAGCAGTAACAGTAGTAGTAGTAGTAGTTGTAACAGTAGCAGAAGTAGTAGTAGTAGTAACAGTAGCAGTAGTAGTAGTAGTAACAGTAGTAGTAGCAGTCGTCTTTGGTCATTATGAGATTTGCCTTGTATGTAACTTTTGTCCTCAATCTCAATGGGACTTTCCAGGTTAAATAATAATATTTTTTGTTAAAGTTTGTATAGATCAAAAAATTTGTACAATAAGGAAAAAACTAAAAACTAAATGTATATTAAGAATTTTAGTGCTAGACTACAATACATGTGTATACCAATTGGATTATGTTTTATTATTTAAGGCCCGCTTTGACTGACTTTTATTTCTCTTTTATACTCCTTTTCTTTACAGATAGGTATCAATTGAATTTGAAATAAAGATTAACCTGTGACAGCAAATGTGTTCATATTGTAAGATTTTTTGGTAACACTTTAGTTTAACTCTCAATAATTATCAGCTAATTAAGCGCTAAACAAAGTACGCTAACCCAAACGGGGAAAGCGTCAGTAAGATGTCGAGTAAGGCCATGGAGAATAAGGATTAATAAGAGCTCAATACCAGAGATAATTAGCCATAAATTATACATTCATTAGCACTAACTTAGCTGGGAATAAGTGAGGGATCATTTAAAGTTTATTTTTATTATAGCAGAGTGGTGTTAGCAACTCAGAGGACTAATGGGTGGTGGAATCCAATGTACGTCTTGGTTGGTTCACGCTGCTTCACGTAACTCACTCGTCCACACAGTTCTTCAAAAGTGCAGTCAGCGACGGAGCCACAGGTCCTCCACAGAGTCAGCTCTCTGCCCTGGACCTGGAGCACCCGAGGGACTACAGCTGCAAACAGGAAGGGGAAGAAGGAACTTTTTCACAACAATCTACTATGTTTTCTACTATACATATTTTGAGAGACATTTTTGAATAACGTGTGTGTGTGTACGGGCAAGTTTATGTCTTTTATGCTAATAGATCACATACAGAATACAACCATAGATTCATATCTGGCCCCTTGGTTTACATGTTTTACAAATAATGTTTGAAAAAGCTAATAAAAACTAGGAAAACAGTAGTGCATTTCAATTATTGAACCAGTCTGCGGGGAATCTGGACAGAACTCAATTCATTTTTTTATTTATTTATTCAAACTTTGTGTTACATATGAATACTACACACCGCTCTTTTGCTGCGAAGCCAGCTCGTCAAACAGCATGTCCAAGAAGGCCGTGGACCCGGGCTCTTGAGTGCTGAGAGAGAGACACACACACACACACACACACACACACACACACACACACACACACACACACACACACACACACACACACACACACACACACACACACACACACACACACACACACACACACACACACACACACACACACACACACACACACAGAGAGAGATATGCACAAATAAAAACACAGAGACAGAGAGAGACACACAAACACACAGAGAGAGACAGAGATACACGCACACACAGAGACAGAGACAGAGATATGCACACATAAAAACATAGATACAGAGAGACACACAAACACACAGAGAGAGACAGAGATACGCACACACACACACACACAAACAAACAAACACACGCACACACAAACACAGAGACAGAGATATGCACACACAAAACACAGATACAGAGAGAGACACAAACACACAGAGAGAGACAGAGATACACGCACACACAAACCCAGAGACAGAGACAGAGATATGCACACAAAAACACAGATACAGAGAGACACAGTCACACACAAACACACATATAAAGAGACAGAGATACGCACACACACACACAGAGATATGCACACACAAAACACAGATACAGAGAGAGACACACAAACACACAGAGAGAGGCAGAGATACGCACACACACACACACACACACAAACACAGAAACAGAGATACGCACACACAAAAACACAGATACAGAGAGAGACACACAAACACACACACACACAGACAAACACAGAGACAGAGATATGCACACACAAAAACACAGATACAGAGAGAGACACACAAACACACACACACACACAAAGAGAGACAGAGATGCACACACACACACAGACAGTCACACATACATAGACACACACACACAAACACACACACAGTCACACACAATACAGAATTAATAACGGCATATGAAATTAATAAAGCTGGAGTGGCCACATCAAACGTCCGCGGCGTGGAGCAGGAGTGAGGGAGGTGCTTAGCTTTTCACTCCGTCGCCACAGAACAGGATGTTAGCTGTAAAGACCCGCATTAGCCCATGAATGCGCGTCGAAATTAGATTGACAAGTGTGTGTGTGTTTTAACTGCAGGTAAAAAGCCCGTGTGATGCACTCTATTTACATACAGAGAAAAGACCAACGCACTTGAAAGCCTCAATACCCAGCCGCAGTGTGTGTGTGTGTTTGTGAACGTGTGTGTAAAGAGAAAAACACAACTAGCTTTTAAATAACTGCCATTTTCTCATGCTCTATTGATTCCCATCTCACTTTTTTCATGCTTCTCTCTCAAGGTAATCCGTGCCTTTTATGTGAGTCTTCCTGCTGCTGCTGCTTGTTTTTGTCTGCTCGGCTCTCCTCGGGTCTAGCTTGTTGGCGCAGCTATTACGGACTTCTTTGCTTCCAAATAACCTTGCGATGAGTTGGCCAACAAACAGAGGTTGAATAGCGGCGACAGGGCTGTTGTATGCGCTAAGGCCAAGTATTTATGACTGTCCACTTGTGTGCGGGCACTTGTTATCCTGGTTTTCATATTTTAAAGCCTTGTCCGTAGCTAAAGAACATATGTGAATTTGTTTTCGGTGGTTCAAAGCCATAGAATATAGAGTTTATGTAACAACACAGTATGGTGTCTTTGTGTCGTCTTTTATATGGACCTTGAGTCTGGAATAAAAATGATTTATTTCTTGATTTTTACTATTGTTACTATTATCATGTATTATTATTAATCACAATTATACACAATACATTGAGGGGAAAAAAGAAGGTCAGAGCTAACTTAATTTAAAGTAAAAATCCTTTATCATCACAGGACACCAACGCATTTCAACCAATTAGGTCTCCATCAAGGCAGACAATCTAATTGGTCAAAGCGCGTTAGGTGTCCCGTCATAATAAAGGATTTTTACGTTAAACTAAGTTGTGCATGACTTTATTTATTGTAATTTGATTTTGTTTTTTATTTTTTTAAATCCCCCACCTCCCCTGTTTGATAAAAACATAATAAATATTTCAGTTATAAAACAGTCAGTTGTGCCTCAGACCTTCTTCTTCCCCTTCAAAATTGAGCTTTTTGCATTTGGACCCTGAAGAGTACTTGACCCGCGTACCCTTACATACACAATACATTGTTCTGACCGATATTTTGTGGCACTTATGTCACTGTGCATTTCTGACTTACAGGTAGAAGAGTTTTCCTGCAGGGTCCGTGTCCAGGGTGCGATAATCGATCCCAGAATCCAGGCAGATTGTGTTGCAGTGCGTCTGTGGGACAAGAACGTGTTGAAAGCTGGGGTACGCAACTTTTTTCCCCTTATTTTTGTCCCAACAGTGAGGTGTAAATGGCGTGTTCTGGTTGGATTTGTTCACAACATATGACGTCTGGATCTCATAAAAATCCCAAAATAGAACCACATATATTTAAAGAAAAGCAGAAGTAGGTCATAATACACAGAGTTTGTACGGTTTCTAGCACAACCCCAGCAGGTGGATTGCATCAGTAATCAGTGCTTTGGTGGCGCAGCAAGAAAGTCCTGGGTTCGACTTCGATTTCCTCCGGGTGCTCCGGTTTCCCCTACCACTAACAACATGTATATAGGTATGAATGTAATGAGTGAGTGGGTGCTTTGATGCGCCAGTGGGTTCGGCGTCTCGCTTCAGTCATCACTTTGAGGAGAGAATGGAAAAATATCTGAACTCTCAACAATCGTAAAGCGGTTTGGGTGACCTTGGTGTGTAAAATGCGCTACATAAATAATCATTACTTACTACTTCAGAGCTACATGACAAAAACAAAAGATTCTAAAATTATATTTGTTATGACTTCATTAGACCACTGAGAGTAGCTATAAAATTATGTTGGGTCTGTTGGGACAAACCAAATGTATTCATGAAACAAACAAGTTAGTCCAGATTTAAAAGTGTAGTATAATCGAAGGTTCTATACCAAAAACATGATTTTCTCCAACTGTCTGTGTAATAAAATATATACACACTAAAAAAGGTCTCAGTGCAGCTTTAATGAACAAAGTAGAGTAGGAATGAGGAGCACACAAAACAAGACAAATGAACAATAGCAACACAAAAATAAAAAAAATATCTCTTACTTTAGCATAATAAAAGAGAAAGAATCAAGAATAATATCTCTGACTTTCTACAGTAGTACATAAAGAAATCCACTAGTTTGAGCCTCAGCGTATTCACCCCAATTCCGTCTCGTCCCTCGCTTTACTGTATTTCATTTACGAATTGCGAGAAATGTAAATGTTCCGTTTGACTGTACGTGGAATGGGGCTGACTGAGGATGAGCGAGAGTCTGAGGAGGGGGAAGCCGACAGATCACACAATAAGTGGGGGCGGACGGAGGAGTGCGGACTTGACAACCCTCTCCAGACGATAATCAAGTAATGACCCGCGGCCCGGCTCTATCTGATTATAAATATCTGCCGCCATCATCACCGCTGATTGTGTCACCGTCCTCCGCTCCTCGCCGCTCGCTCACAGTCACAAGGCACCGAGGGAGACGCACACACGGCTCACGCAACAAGTTGGTCTTTTTATAGAAGCGACGGTGTGTTTCAAACAATGGAAGCTGCTTTTCGGGAGGAGAGACCGTGCCGTTGTCCCGAGAAAATGTATTACCTGTGATTGTTGTTCCGTCTTTGAGTTTGTTTTATATTCCTGAAAATAATAGTAGTTTAGGAGAATGAGTTTTGCAGAGGGGGGAAAGTAGAAGGTCATTTTGAGTAGCATAAAAAAAGAAGAAAAAAAGATTGTTTAATTTTTGTCTAGAATATATTTTTGTGACTACTTTTGAATTGGGTATTTCAGTAACATGTAATTGTACTTATTATGAACCGAAATGAAAATTAGAATATTGATCCATTTACTTCTGTAACTAAACTTAAAATGTGAGACTAATATGATATAGATTTATAACACATAAAGTGACGTACATTGAGCCTTTATTTTGTTATGTTGATAATTGGGTCACGGATACAAAAAACTAATAGTAAAAATAATCTTTTGAAAATTGACTATTCAACACTTTATTAACCAAAGGCATGTGTCCCTAATGACTATATTGTTAGTTTCACATGTTAAAGTAACATGATAAACAGAAATAATCTAAAACAATATTCTGATTCTCCAAGATTCACCTGTGTTTTTGACATCTGTTTGTGCAGGATCAAATATGCACTATATATGTATAAATGTTTTAAATCATAATCATTATTATTGTTAAAACAATAATTGATCATTTGTATCATCTTCCATTAAATACAGTCAATAAATCATTTTGTATTTATGGGACGGCAGCTGCTGTACAGTACCAAACTGCGACACTTCTCCCACATGGCAGAGAGTGAGTCTGGTGTGTGAGTGAAAGGTGGTGGTGGGAGGGGCTAATGTCACAAACTGGTTGACACGCTTTTGTCAGTGTGCCCCAGGGTAGCTGTGGCCACAGTAGAACTTTATCACCACCTGTGTATGGAGTGAATGAATAATGCCACATGAAGAGTCTTTGAGTGTCCAAAAAGCGCTATATAAAACTAATGCGTTATTAGATTAGATTCAACTTTATTGTTATTAAAGTCAGAACAATGCAACAAAATGCAGTCAAGGATCAAACCAGAAGTGCAATAGCGCAAGTATCGGATTAAATTTACAACATATAAATAAATGTGACACTATACAAAGCCACTATTATTATCATTATCATTAATTACTGAAGTTACTGAACTAATACGACAAGAACTTTCACTTTTGCTTGTTATTGATTACACTTTAATACCACTGCTCAAAATAACAAGATTTTTACACTTCTACGCCGGGCTGCTTCCTCTCCCTTTGTTTAAGTAAAAAAAAAGTAAAGTTTCCAGATAAAAAAGCAGCTCTCTCTCCAGTCTTTTCCCCCCTTCATTTTGAACGTCTCCATTTACCGACGCGCAGGTCAGTCCGGGTCGCCGAAACGCCACCTCCCCTCTGCGCGTGGGGGAGGGAGGCCTCTGTCAGGTTATTATTAAGTCTGATTCCGCCAATTGGCTCGGAGCGTCGACCCCGTTTGTGTGCGAGAAAAAGTTGACAGCGCAGAAGAATGCCGTATTTCCGTCGCCCTTGCTTTGTGATGATTACTAATTATCGACTAGGCTCAGAAGGGAAGAGGCCAGTGGCAGAAAACTCAATGATTTCATACTGCAGTCCTCAGCCGCCCGTGTCAGTTATCAGAGAAGGGTCTCGTCGGTGATGGAAAGGGGGAATTCGTGATTACAGTTTGCGCTGCGTTCGTCGACATGAATCCTGTTGACGTCTTACACCGCGAGCGTATTCTGAACCGCACATCAACAGTTCATGTTTGACGGAACGCACCGCAACAGAACAAAAGAGGGGGAGAAAAGCAGACGGTGAAGGTTTTTATGAAAAGGTAATTATTAACAAATAAGTTGGACAAAGTTTGCAAAGTTGAGTCATAGGGGTCATTAGGTTTTGTCAATGCACTGCAAAAAGTGTGCAAAATAAGGCACATTTGGACTGCCTTTAAAACAAGATTTGCCAATGGGACAGCAAAATCATGTTTTAAAAAAGTACCAAGATTGGAATGAGGAAATAAAGCATTTTCTTGTTTTTAGACAAAGCCATTTAGTCTTAATTAAAGATTTGCCATTGGGAGAGACAGAGTGTCCTCAAATTAAGACAAAAACCACCAGATTCAAGCAATTATTAAAGAAGCTATACCCAATTTTTTTTTCTAAGTAGTTCATAAAAATGCCTTTTACTACATACAAGTTGTATCATAATATATAATTTAATTGAAAACTTGAGGTCATTGATTCCACTGTGTATGAAATTCAAGCAGTGAAAAGTGCTGAGTAGAGTCTGAGCGGGACGCTCGTTCTCCTCCGCTCACAGAACGAGCAGTGAACAGCCTGCGTCCTCTAGCCTCTACAGCGCTGCTTAACACCAGGACTTTGACTTCAAAATTCGAATATAATTCTAAAATTAAAACTATATATATATATTTAAACAAATATTAGACAGCCCTTACAATTCGAAATGTATTTAATGACTGCAAATAAAATAGTTAGCTCCCAAAGGTTTCACCGGGACGTGCTAGGCAGGTAACAGCTAAGCTAGCTAGCTGTTTCATGGTAACTTCCGGGTTTTTCGCGATCGCTTTTTGTCACTTGAAAACAGTATTTTTGTCATGAAAACGTTGACAGCAAATTCTGAAATCGTCCGTGCATGTGTGTTAAGGATGTATATGTATACCGTATTGTCTGATTAACGTTTAATGGCGTTGATTGATTGATATGTATTTGTTTATTGAGCGTGGCTAACTCGTCTAGCTCCGCTAGCTTCTCTACACAGACAAGTGTGCAGAAAAACTGCACAATGTAGTGACAGGTGCTGATAGCTTGTTGTACTTGCAAAGTAATGGCAGTATTTTACACACCTGAATTACAATGTTATCAAGAAAAAATTATCGGAAGAATTGCATTCAAGTCAATGGAGTGCTGCTGCTGTGAGGAGCTGTATAATAAATTATAATTAAATATTAGAATGTATTCTATTGTTTAAATTAATACATTCGGACGCGAAACTAATGGCATTCTTTTACTTATATATTGTGTTAGCAGTGCATTGCTATAGTGCCATTTAATCAGTGATCGTTGTACAGCTTACAAGTTGCGCTAACGCTAATGTTAGCATACATATCAGATCGCAAATAAAACTAGGTGGCTCCGTGGGATGAGAGCGTAGGGGAAATGAGAAGCCTGTGAGCGAGTTGGGGGGCGGTGCTAAACATTCAAACATTGCAGAAACGGGTATAGCGCCTTTAACTAATATTTTATCATTAGTTCCAGTGTGGAATAGAATCAGTCGGGTTTTTATCTGCCTCCATCTTCTCACATGTTATAGGACACATAAGTTATACTTTAATGTCTCCGAAGGGAAATGTGTCCTCTGTATTTGACCCATCCTGAATGCTTTTAGGGCCTCTATCAGGAGCAGTAGTCGCCTGAGACCCAATCTCCAGATGTTGATGCTCGGCTTGGTCAGGACCAGAGATGGAGGTTTTTAGTAGGAGGGGAACCGGAATATTTGCTCATGAAGCGACAACTTTGTGAAGTCCTCTGCTGTCACGACTGCTGTTGTCACTTAGGGCTATACCAAAATGAATTGAATTGAGATACAAGTGATCTGCCTTAACAAAAATCTTTGAGAAACACATAGACATAGCCACTGTTCAAAAATCACTCAGC